GTACAAAAGAAGGTATTTGGGAAATGTAAAGAAAGTAACAGCTTAAGTTATCCTTTTGAGTTTTCTATCTTTCCATTTCTGTTTTTTTTTTTCCAGACTAATGTTGTTCTTATCACACCTCTTTGAATGCTCTTTGAATACATCAACATGAACCATGCTTGCTAGTACCAGTCCCTTTAAGTATCAGCTGAGAATCTGAATGCATTTTTATGAATCTAAAATGATATGCAGCTCTTTCAGGCTGGCGCTTGTTTTAGAACCTAGGAGGGATGAACATAAATTATCATTCTTTCCTTAACTTGGCAAAAACAAATATATTACTGCAGATGGCATTACCATAAAGAAATATTAATATTGAGACAGTTAATAAGTCCATCCTAAGAGAACTGAATATATTCCAAAGTGGACTACACCAATGAACTGCTGGCAATGTTTTCCCACATACGTGGCAGTACGTTACTCTTAAGTCTGAGAACAGTTTCTTTTTTGTAAAAATGGCTTTGATTGGAAAACTTTAAATAAGTAATTTGGAATGTGTAACGTTCGGAGCTCCCTTTCCTGCCTTTTCTGTGAATCAAGGTTCTTCAAGTCACTATTTTCACTAGCACTTGCTTCCTAGTCATCAGTTGTCTTCATGTCAGTGTTAGTGAAGGGCTGTCATTTCAGATCTTAAAGCAGGGAACAATAGAAGGAAAACCTCATCTCAAGTACTGGAAATAGAAGGGCTAACAAAGGACACACATATTGTCCAGGGGAGCACAAATAGATGTTCTTTAACCATTCTGTAAAGACAGCTTTAGTGAAACCACAAACACCTGCATTTGTATGCAAAATTATATGTGTATGCTTCTGTATGTACTTGGGGAGATGATGCACAAACTTTACTGAGTTATCAAAAGTTTGGGATGTTAACCTAAAAGTTTAAAAAGCTGGAAAGATTAATCACAAAACAACTTGAAACTATTCTGATGGCTCTGACTTGGTGTTTTTACAATGCTTTCCCTTACTCTGTTACACTTCAAAGAGCGGGTAGTAATATGGAAAAAATTCTCTGCCATTCAGGTGACATCTGTGAGCCTAGGTTTTCTCAGTGTAAAATTCTCATATAGTATAAACATCAAATGATATACCAAAGATGAAAGTCCCTAGAAGAGTGGCTTGAAACAAGATAAATTCTCATATGCATAAGGTGCCTTCTCCTGCTTAGAATGCAATAATATTGAAAGCAGGTACAATGTCTTCATTAAAGATTTGTTTTGCTATGCTCACCATGCTTTTAGTATACATTTAAGGATGTTTAAGCTCACAATACCTTTTGTAGATTTAAAGATTTGAATAGTATATTTACTATTATTATAAGTATTTTTTTAAAAAACAAATTAGCATTTGCACATATATTGAGAACTTAACTTGGCTGGTGGAGAAGGGTAGGTAGATAGATTTATAACTCTGGAAAATAACTTATTTCTTCACTAAAATCAAACTGCTGAACAGCCATAATACATATATGTAGCTAGGCACCATAGAGTTGCAGGAAATCAAAACTTATTCCCAGACCCTGCTTTCTTAGAAGAGCAGACAAAGCATGTTCACATGAAGGATAACCCAAAATAGAATGTGCTATAGGAATTTAAAGAAGAGAGGGACACATCTGATGAGGGAAGGAAGGTGGGTGTGGGGAAGGCTTCATAAATGAGTCAGTATCTGAGGTGAACAAGGTTTCAACATGTAACAGGATGGGCTAAAAGAATACATGAAAACATATAGGCATGCCACCATCGGGTACAAATTGGAAAGAAGATCCACTTGGTTGAGGTTGGGCATGGGGTACTTTAAGGGAATTAGTGACAAATTAGATTAAGAGATATCACAGTGCCTGATACATAGTACTTAATACCTTTTAAACACAAATATTTAATCAAAGAAGAACGTAGAAGAGAATGTATAAAATGAACAGGATGAAATATTATAGAAATCTGGCAATTAAGAGGTCATTGGCAACTTTCAACATAGTCCTTTTTCTGCCCATTCTCAGTGGAGTCACTGGTTGAATAGAAATGACATTACTATCTGAGCCTTATTATTGTTATTCTTTTTCCTTTTCCATTTCAAAATTTCATAAATTTTAAAAAAAGTTTTTATTTTATTTTTTAATTTGAGACAAGGTTTCATTCTGTTACCCTGGTTGAAGTACAGTGGTGCCATCATGGCTCACTGTAGCCTCAAACTCCTGGGCTCAAGCAATCCTCCTGCCTCAGCCTCAAATCTTAAGGCTATTTCAATTGTAGCTAATGGCAGTAATGCAGCACCAGAAAAAGATATTTTGTTATAAGAGGGCAACTTTGACTCCTAAATTTTTACTCTCTAAATTTCTGGTAACACTGCCTAGCAGACTAAACTTTTTATTTATTTATTTATTTATTTATTTATTTATTTATTTAACACAATTGGAAAGCAGTAGATTGACTTCAGTTCTATCTTGTCAAACACAAAAGTGCCTGCAGTTCATTTAGTATCTAGTCATTTAGCATCTAATCATGCACATCCTTCCATTTTTCATTCCTCTTTCGATTCTGAACACCAGCCAATTAGTTTTTCCTCTCCCTAGGAAACATTTTAAGGAAAGGAAATAAAGTCATAAATCAGTTTCAGACATAAAATCATACATACATTTCTGCTTAGGCTTCTAAATTTAGAAACTTTCCTCAAACTTGTTTAAACATAACAAAGTCCAAATTCAGAAATCCCTTCAGTTTGATTATCTTCCTCAGTTGTACTAAAATGAAAATTAAATTTTCTAACTTGTTTTCTTCTTAACAAGATTTCTCCAACTCCAATTCATAAATTATTGGGTTCAACTCACCTACAAAATCACTAGCAAGTATTATTCCACCGTAGGCAGCACCAATCTCCTAATCCTGAGTTTTGTTTCTTCAGAAAGTAAATGATAGACACTTCGAATTTCTAACCATCATTAGGATATTCTCACGCACTTGCTCTTCAACAGAAAGGTGACTGTCAACATTACAGAAACTGCATTGTATTTCTAAGATCAATTGTGCTAATCTGCATTTCATATACCTTAGGTTTATTTAGAATAATTATATTAAAATTATTCTTCTATATTAATATTTATTATTACTTATTCTTCAGCATAATGATGTATATGGTTAAGTATTTTAATACTAGAAAGAAGGTGGTAGAATAGAGGGTTTGTTGTTGATCTTGTTCTTTGTTACCTTTTAATGTGACTGAGTAAAAATTCTAGAATCTCAAGAAGTTAATATTCCAAACTAAAACCCTGTTTGACACATAATAATAACAAAAAAGGGACCTGACTGACCCCAAGGGATGGTTCCTGGAGTGGGTCACTCAGTAGTGGGCTTTGCCCACCCCCGCCCCCCACACACACCCTATGCCTCATATACTGAAGATGGAGACAAAGAAACAAATTCAAATATTTCGAAAGTGTATTTTGTAAAAAAAGAAATTTGCAATCAGAAAGGCAAGAATGATATATAATATGATTAACATGATTTTCCATACTAGTATCTTTGTTTAAAAATAATACTCAAAGAGGAAAATAAGCAGAGGTAAAATTTTAAGCTACCAATTCTGCCCCTCTGTTTCATTGATCTTCTAATTTAATTTACTGAAATAAAATTGCATGGCTGTTGAGTCAGTCTCTCTAATTTCAAGTTTAAAGATAACAGATCTCCCTTTAAATAGAACATTGGCACACAGATACCCCACAATCGGGCTTATTGCAACTGTTCTCTGTTGGTGAAGTGGCAGCACGTTTGCAATCCCCATAACAGCCATCTTAACCATTTCACAGCATATTATTCAAATGTACATCTCTAGGTGGCAACAAGGATAGGCACTTGGGCTCAGTAGCAAGGCGTCTGTAGGGAAAATCCTAGGATGAAGGATAGGAACCTGCAAATGGCAAGACAAACTAGAGGATACTCAAATAACCAGGGGCTTAGATTGGGCAGCTCCATTGGCTTTCTGACTGCCTACGGGGAAAGCCTCACTGGAAACTCTGAGGTTATTGAGGAATCCTAGAGGCAAACGGACTCCCCTACCTTTTGGAAACAATTTGTCCCAAATCTTAACAGTTAGCTGTCTCAAAACCCAGCTGGACTAAAATTGCTTCAAGAAAAACTGGATGGACTGGCATTCACATTTTTACTTCTACCTATGCCTATGCATAGGGAACATCCCTCACACTCCAGTGGATTCTATGTGTCCTCTCTAGCTTGCAAGTAGCCACAGTGACTACAGCGAACGGAGTTAATGGGCTACCATGTTGGTACAGGGCTACAAACAGGATATTTCATTCCATGCATTTGAGGGAAGGACACAGGTAACAGTATACAGGTAGAATACCGAATAAGAAATCTGTGTGAGGCAATGCCCTTTTTGGGACCTTGACAAAATCAGTCATGGAACCCAGGTAGCGGATAAGAGCTGACAAGAGTTGGCCTGTGAATGGGCACAGCATCTCCGAAAAAGATCAATGAAATGATTGACAGAGAAAATGGCAAATGAAGGGAGAAGCGATGTCAAGTGCTGCTCAACCCAAGCTGAACTCCAGGAGATAAGAGAAGTTTCCCCTCCAAATACAGGCTCTTTCTAAAGGTTCAGTCTTGAAGCAGGTGTTTTGACGTTGAGAGGGGCACAGAAGGAAGAGAGTAATTCAAATTATTTTACATTTTGAGTCCTCTTCACTGTCTACGCGAATCTGGCACTGAAATGGTAGATCACGTTCAAAAGTGTATAGAGGCAAGAACGCCTTCTTTGTTTGCCCAGTAACACTGCTCCTCCAACCTCTGCACTTAGTCGCCTAACATTTCCATCCTAGTTGCTGCTCCTTTTCCCATTGCAGAAAGCAGCGGGGTTCTCCCCTTCTTCCCTCCGAGCTGCAAACCCCATTATTAACCAAGCGGAAAGCTCCACGCAGTGTGGCCAGGGAGCACCGGGGCTGGGCTGCTTACCTTCCCCGGACCTAGTCAGCGCAGGTTCCCGCGCCCGCCGCCACGGGACGCAGTCCCGCCGCGCCCGCGGAGTGCTCGGTCAGCTCGCTCCGGCCCGCGCCCCACCTGCCAGCTGCAGCCGTCGCTCCCGCCGCCGAGCTCCGGCCGCATGAAGTCATACCCGCCCCAGGCCGGATCACCACATTCCGCGCCAGCCGCAGGGGGAGCGGGGCCGCTCCCGACCCCACGGAAGGCAGCCTGGAACTGGCACCCAACGATCGCTGCCCCCCGAGGTTGTGGGTTGGTTTTCTGTTAATGCTTTTACAGTTGCAGCATTGCTGGATTATGGACCGAGAGAGAAGAGCCAGGGGGGGCTCTCTCTGCATAGCGTCCTTCCTCTGAGCGCTCCCCCATCACCCCGGCTGCATGGACTGCTCCATTCGCCAGTGTGGGTTTCCCACCCTCTTCTTCCTTATCAGCATTGTTCATTTGGCTAAATTTGAGAGCAGGAATTGTCTTTTAAGATAAACATTCAAGCACTACAAGAACATTTTAAATTGGTAATGAAGCTTTCTAAGCCCTTCATAGCTGGCTCCATCACCCGCTCCCCCAACAGACACACATGCACACACGCACACACATACACGTACACACACAGCCCAACCACTCACAATTTTGAAAGCTAGAACCTTTCGCCTACGTAATAGAACGGGAATCTCCCAAAAGACTGGAGAAGTGGGGCCAATCGGAGAAAGTGCTCAAAGAAGCAGCAGGGTGGCCCCATGATTTTGTTGTGTTTATGGTGCACTTGTGCACAGATGTTCCCTCTAACATCTCTTCCTCCTACTCCCTCTGCTCTGGACCCCCTCCCTTCTCTGCCACATAATTGGACAAACCGTTGTGGTGACAGCTGTAACATTTGGAAATCAAAATGCAGAATCTACATTAGCAGATGACTGTATCTCTTTCTTTCCCTAAGGATTTATGAAATTTGCCTTGGGAATGAAACAAGCATGTGTTCATATAAGCCCTCATTAACAAGATTGTTCTCTCTCCCCACCCCACCCCCACTCCCACCCCCACCCTCCACTTTTGCTTCTTTCCCAAATCTTTTCTGGTGTGAGGGTTGAATGTTTAAGGAAAAATGAGCCTAAATTTGCTCTCTTTGTAGCTGAGCCAGGGTTTCCCCCTAGCTGTTGAGTAATTTTCCAGCAGGGAGGTTCCTTGACACTAGGGTTCTGTGGAATGGAGTTCCCTCTTTTAACTTGCCTTGCTGTTCGAATTGACCATCACTTGATACAGGCCAGTTTTACACTATAGATTTGTCCAGCAACCTAAATAGTGCAATTGCACAAGGCCAGGGAAGCACCTTTGCTAAATGAAATGTTTCTATCTATCAGTCCAAAAGTTAGGTAGTAATGTAGCCAAGAGCTTTCCAACAAAACTTAGAATTCTTGGCCATAGAATGTATGCTCTTTGAAAGTTAGAACAGCTTAATTCATCGCTCTGAGACTCACTTTCATAACATTAGGTCATTAATATTATCATAGAGCAGGAGATTCTTAATCTGTATAAAAGGGATATATGACTAGAATTCCAGAGTGTGGAATTTGGATGGGAAAATTTCATTTTTAATTTCACTAACCTCTGAAATTTAGCATTTAGCATGTCCTTTAAACATAAATGCAGGCAACAAACCACAAGAATGTTAGGAGTACCTGTGACTTTGTTACCAATAGAAACAACAGCTAATTCCTTATTGCTGTTTTTATAGATATCTCAGTATATCACTACACTGATGTTATAATCAAATTATCATACATTTTTTATTTAATAGACTATATTTTTCAGCTTTGGTATCCAGAAAAATTGAGGAAATAATACAGGGAGTTCTGATATATCCCATTCCCAGTGTCTCCTATTAACATCATACATTAGTATGGTACCTTGGTGTAATTAGTCCATTCTGGCATTGCTATAAAGAACTACCTGAGATTGGGTAATTTATAAAGAAAAGGAGTTTAACTGGCTCATGGTTCTGTAGGCTGTACAGGAAGCATGATTGGGGAAGTCTCAGGAAACTTATAATCATGGTGGAAGGCAAAGGGGAAGCAGGCAGGCCCTAATGGCTGGAGCAGGAGAAAGAGAAGCGGGAGGTGCTCCTCCACACTTTTAAACAGATATCATGAGAACTGACTATCACCAGAAAGGCAAGGGGGAAGTCCTCCCCCATGATCAAGTCACCTCACATCATGCCCCTCCCCCAAAATTGGGGATTACAATTTGACATGAGATTTGGGTTAGGACACAAATCTGAACCATACCATTTGGTTACAATCAATGAATCTATATTGATACATTATTACTAACTAGTCTATAAATAAAGTCTAACTACATTTGAGTTTCCCTGATTTTTACCTAATATCCTTAAATCTGTTCCAGACGTCCATCCAGGATTCCACGCTAAATTTGGTTGTCATGTTCCCTTAAGCTCCTCTTAGCTGTGATAGTTTCTCAGCCTTTTCTTGTTTTTGATGACCTTGACAGTTTTGAGGACTAGCGGTCAAGTATTTTCCAGGAGGCCCCACTGTTGCAATTTGTCTGATGCTTTTCTCATGACAAGACTGGAGTTGTAAACTATTGGCAGGAGAAAGAGAGAGGTAAAGTCCCATTTTCCTCACATCATATTAAGGTTCCATAGTGTCGATGTGATTTATGACTGGTGATGTTGACCTTGATCGTCTGACTGAGGCAGTGTTTGTCAGGTTTCTCCACTGTAACATTATTGCCCATCCCTTCTATATTGTACTTGTAGGAAGTAACTACATGAAGCCCAAACCTAAGGAGTGGGACTTTGGCTCTACCTCCCTGAAGGCAGAGTGTGTACATAAAGTATTTGGAATTCTGCGCAGGAGATCTGTCTATTCTCTACCAAGTATTCAATTACTTACTGATATCAATATTATAGACTCATGGAGATTTATTATATTTTATGCTTTTGGTAATAATCAATTATTACTTTATTTTGTTGTTCAATTTGTTCTACTTTTGCCCATTGGAAGCTCTTTCAGTAGGTTCCTGTGTTCCTTTGACCTTTGATGTGTGAGTGAGTGAGAGAGAGTGTGTGTGTGTGTGGTGGGAGCGGTGGGGCCGTTAACAATCCCTTACTTTATGGTATTATAAGTTCTTCCAGTCTCAACTTGTATACTTCCTGATTCATTCCTAGAATCAGCCATTTCTTCATGGAGCCCTTGTTCCTTTTACTGGAGAATGGTAATACAAATCAAGACCTGGGCCCTAGACATGGTCATTATTGGCGGGTCATTTTGCTTAGACCTTTCAACTAAGACAGTGAAGAAATATATGTGTATACTTACCCATGCTTCTATACATAAGTATTTCTATATGTGACCATTCTGTGTCTGTATTAAGCTAAATATGAACACATACTTATGTCTCCAACTTTAATCCTTTAACACATAGATCATTCTAGCCTCCTCCCTTTGCTTGTCTCTAAATTCCTATTCCAATAGTGAGAATCATGGCCCCCACCATTCACTACTATAATTGTTCATTTTCAGTGTACATGTAAAGCAGTATAAAAATTAACCCTTTCCCACAGTATCACAATTTTTAAGTATAGTAATACATATAACTCTCCTATACTTTGTTTAATAAGTTTAAATGCCCATACCTTTGTATATCATGAATTTTGTTTTTAAATATTTTGAAAACAGTATTTTAAACTGGTAATTAGTTTCCTTTGCAATTCTACATATTTTATGCATTTAAAAGCATTATTTTAAGAAGAGTTATGTAGGTTGCTGCAGATTGTCAAAGGAAGCCATGGCAAAAAGTTAGGATACAAACTGTAGACTGTTACTGTGAGGCTATAATGAGATGGTGTGAAATTGCCACTGCAGAACTTCAGGGAGCTGATACTCTACAAGTGTTATCCTTGCATACTTGGGCAGGCTTCTGTCTCCTTTCTCCTTTGAAAGTCTAAATACCTTGAATGAGAGAACATGCTCAACCTTCATAATTTATCATTTAGTTGAAGGATTTGCTAGTTATCTCATGTTGAAGATAAAAGTCCTTATAAAGTAAAGAGGCAGGAGGTTGAGAAGGTGAAGAGAACCAGAAGGTTGAGATGACTGTGAAGGTTAGAGGTTTTGTAGTTGAACAGACTTGGGCTTGGATTCCCACCACTCACAGCCTGACTTTGTCTTGTTTCTGAAATGAAGACAGCAATTGTTTGTGAAAGATGTTTGATCTTTTTCTTCAAGTTGCCTGAGGCAGTAGGGATGCAACTGTGGCGACTTGGGACAGTCCCAGAACATGTTTTCTTGATCTCCCAGGGTAGTTTCCATCTGTAAAGCCAGACTGACTGAAGATAGTTTCTTGTGATAATATAGATACATTCATCTATCAAAGTATTCTTACCAGGTACTTTCTATTCATGGAAAGGAATCAGTGTGTTGATAGTGTTAAAGACAACAGTCAAAGACATTAAACAGCAGGATTGAACTGCTTCTGATACTATAGCATGGTAAGAGGCATAAGGAAACCAGAAAGAAAAGGGGAAAGATATTGGGAAATGTCTTATGTCAACATATAGGGTTTGAATCTGTCTTCTTAGAACTTGACATACAGTGATATGTAATTTCTTTTTAACCTATGGCTTGTCTTTGCACAAATTTTTTTATAAAAACCCTAAATTTTGGACCTTGACTTTGAGGTCTGTAATGCTTCCTTTCTGATATTCTCAAATTAGAGATCAAATGGCCTAGTGATGTCATGAGTCTCAGCAAGGGAAAATGTGAAACCAGAGCCAGAGGCCCTGTGTGCTGGGAGCTGTCAGCATTTAGAACCAGTCCTTTGGGTTAAGGGAGTCTTTCCAGAAAGAACTCATTTAAATGCAAATACACTATCAAGAGGAGTAACTGAGTATCTCATTTGCAGCCATTAACAATTTAGCAGAGATTAGATTCTCAGATTTATTATTGAGAGGAGTTGTCAGGGTGATTTGGCCCCAGCATCTGTCACCCCATTGCCTGCCAGGTCTCCTGTTCTCATCACTCCGTAGGGGTCTGCCTGAAACCAGGAACTTGGTCTACTAGGAAAGAATTGGGCACTTAATGAATAATAATCAATATTGTTTTACATAATTTTGACTTAAGAGAAAGGGTAGGAGAAGGATTTCCATGGTAATGGTACTCTGTGTGTGTGTGTGTGTGTGTGTGTGTGTGTGTGTGTGTGTCTGCTAGGTTTGGGCTGATTAATCATGCTCTACAGAAGTCTTACAATTTTATGACAAAGCATCTACTCTTTTAATGAGGTCAGAA